TCCAGGCCTGAAAAACAGCCTGAAAACAGCCTGAAGAAGGCCCGAAAATGACCTGAAAAATGGCTTGAAAACGGTCCAGAAAAGCCCCCAAAATGGCCTGAAAACGGCTTGAAAAAAGTCCGAAAATGGCTTGAAAAGCAGCCTGAAAATGGCCCAGTAATGGCCCAGAAACGGCCTAGAAAACAGCCTGGTTTTTTAGCATTATTCAGGCCGTTTTCAGGCTGTTTTCTGGGCCTGAAAAGCAGCCTGAAAATGGCCCAAAAAGGCCCCCAAATGGCCTGAAAAACAGCCTGAAAACAGCCTGAAGAAGGCCTGAAAATGGCCTGAAAAACGGCTTGAAAACAGTCCAGAAATGGCCCCCAAATGGCCTGAAAAACAGCCTGAAGAAGGCCTGAAAATGGCCTGAAAAACGGCTTGAAAACAGTCCAGAAAAGGCCCCAAAATGGCCTGAAAAACAGCCTGAAGAAGGCCTGAAAATGGCCTGAAAAACGGCTTGAAAACAGTCCAGAAATGGCCCCAAAATGGCCTGAAAAACAGCCTGAAGAAGGCCTGAAAATGGCCTGAAAAACGGCTTGAAAACAGTCCAGAAATGGCCCCCAAATGGCCTGAAAACAGCCTGAAGAAGGCCTGAAAATGGCCTGAAAAACGGCTTGAAAACAGTCCAGAAATGGCCCCCAAATGGCCTGAAAAACAGCCTGAAGAAGGCCTGAAAATGGCCTGAAAAACGGCTTGAAAACAGTCCAGAAATGGCCCCAAAATGGCCTGAAAACAGCCTGAAGAAGGCCTGAAAATGGCCTGAAAAACGGCTTGAAAACAGTCCAGAAATGGCCCCCAAATGGCCTGAAAAACAGCCTGAAGAAGGCCTGAAAATGGCCTGAAAAACGGCTTGAAAACAGTCCAGAAATGGCCCCAAAATGGCCTGAAAACAGCCTGAAGAAGGCCTGAAAATGGCCTGAAAAAGGCTTGAAAACAGTCCAGAAATGGCCCCAAAATGGCCTGAAAAACAGCCTGAAGAAGGCCTGAAAATGGCCTGAAAAACGGCTTGAAAACAGTCCAGAAATGGCCCCAAAATGGCCTGAAAACAGCCTGAAGAAGGCCTGAAAATGGCCTGAAAAACGGCTTGAAAACAGTCCAGAAATGGCCCCAAAATGGCCTGAAAACAGCCTGAAGAAGGCCTGAAAATGGCCTGAAAAACGGCTTGAAAACAGTCCAGAAATGGCCCCCAAATGGCCTGAAAAACAGCCTGAAGAAGGCCTGAAAATGGCCTGAAAAATGGCTTGAAAACAGTCCAGAAATGGCCCCAAAATGGCCTGAAAACAGCCTGAAGAAGGCCTGAAAATGGCCTGAAAAACGGCTTGAAAACAGTCCAGAAATGGCCCCCAAATGGCCTGAAAAACAGCCTGAAGAAGGCCTGAAAATGGCCTGAAAAACGGCTTGAAAAACCGCTTGAAAACAGTCCAGAAAAAGCCCAAAAATGGCCTGAAAAGCAGCCTGAAAAAGGCCCGGAAACGGCCTGGAAAACAGCCTGTTTTTTTACCATTATTCAGGCCATTTTCAGGCTGTTATTCGGGCTGTTTTCCAGGCCTGAAAATGGCCCAAAAAAGGCCTCAAAATGGCCTGAAACCCGGCCTGAAAACAGCCCAAAAAACAGCTGGGAAACAGTCCCAAAAACCTGCCTGTTTTTTGGCTGTTTTTCTGGCTGTTTTCCGGCGCCCTGGAGCCCACAAAGACCAGCTGGCCGGCACGCATATGTGCACCGGAAACCAGAAGAGCAGCTGGCGATGGCGTGCGTGACCACAGAGAGGGCTCTGTGTACCACCTCTGGCACGCATGCCATAGATTCGCCGTCATGGCCCTGTACCAGTGATGGCCAACCTTTTTGCCATTGTGTGCCAAAAGCTGGGGGAGTGCGGGGTGGTCGCGTGCGTGCATGCCCACACCCATCATTCTATGCCCCCTGCCCCCCTATGCATGTGTGCACGACCCCCCATGCTCCTCCTGCTTTTGGAATGTGATGGCCTGGTGGGCCCGGTAGATCCGTTTTTTGCCCTCCCCAGGTTCCAGAGGCTTTCTAGGAGTCTGGGGAGGACAAAAACAGCCTTCCCCACCTCCCCGGAGGCCCTCAGGAGGCCGGAAACAGCCCGTTTGCCGACTTCTGTTGGGCCCAGAAGGCCCAAAAATCAGCTGGCCAGGAAGATAAGCAATATTATATGATATGGGATTTATTTTATCAATGGCTAGATAATAAAGCATGGAAATGAAATATAAAATATGAATTCTCTAGCCAGGATATAAGGATTGAAATGCCTAGAATTCCCCAGCCAGCATGCTGGGGAAGTCCACCAGTCTTAAAGTTGCCAAAGTGGGATACCCCCCACCCCTTCTGAATAGATATAGATTAACAGAGTTGGAAGGGACCTTGTAGGTCATCTAGTCCAACCCCCACCCAAGCAGGAGACCCTACCCCATTTCTGACAGAAGGCAGTCCAGTCTCTTCCAGTGATGAAGCTCCCACAACTTCCAAAGGTAACTTCTGTTCCACCGATTGATTGTTCGCACTGTCAGAAAATACTCTCCTTATTTCTAGGTTGAATCTCTCCTTGATCAGTTTCCATCCATCTGGCCTTCGGGTGCTTTGAAAAATAGCTCGACCCCCTTCCTCCTCTCTGGGGCAGCCCCTCAAATATGAGAAGATGCTCTCCTGTCTCTCCTGGTCCTTCTCTAATATCTGGAAAATCAGCCTCTCTCAGTAATGACAGGCAGTTGGAATGGAGACCCTTGTGAAGTCCTTTCCAACCCCCCCCCCCAATTGTGAAAAGAACCAAGGTGAAGCCGTGGTTAAGCGATCGATCTAGAACTGGAGAGATCTCAGCTCACGGGGTGGGGCTGGGCCGTCCCAAGGTTGTGTTTGCGAGGCTGCAAGGGAGGTCGTTGTGTAGGGGGTGGGGGGAAATGCACTGCTTTTAGCTTTTGGGAGGAGGAATGGAAAAATAACCCAAGGGAGAAAAAATCAATCTGCACCGTGAGAGAATGGCCGAGATGCTCCTGCAGGATAAATGGGGATTGCGAGTTGTGTGCCAAGCCACGAAGGGAAGTGTATTGGGGTGCACAGTGGAGCGGAGGATAAAACCCTGTGGGTCAAACTTGGGTCAAACGTGATTTCATTGAGGGCCGCATCAGGGTTGTGTTTGACCTCGGAGGGCCGGACACAGGGCTCGTGTTGGAGGCATCTACGGTGGCCAAGTGCTAAGGCAGGACTTCCCCGAGACCCTCCCTGACTCTCATGATAATCTCCTTCCTCCCTCTCCTTCCTTCCTTCCTCTCGCTCTCTCCTTCCTTCCTTCCTCTCTCTCTTCCTTCCTTCTTTCCTTCCTCTCGCTCTCCTTCCTTCCTTCCTTCCTCCCTCCCTCTCCTTCCTTCCTTCCTTCCTCTCGCTCTCTCCTTCCTTCCTCCCTCTCCTTCGTTCCTTCCTCTCACTCTCTCCTTCCTTCCTTCCTCTCTCTCCCTTCCTTCCTTTCTTCCTCTCGCTCTCTCCTTCCTTCCTTCCTTCCTCTCTCTCTTTCTTACTTCCTTCCTCTTGCTCTCTTTCCTTCCTCCCTCTCCTTCCTTCCTTCCTCTCTCCTTCCTTCCTTCCTTCCTCTCGCTCTCTTCTTCCTTCCTCCTTCTCCTTCCTTCCTTCCTCCCTCTCCTTCCTTCCTCCCTCCCTCCCTCTCCTTCCTTCCTTCCTTCCTCTCGCTCTCTCCTTCCTTCCTCCCTCTCCTTCCTTCCTTCCTCTCACTCTCTCCTTCCTTCCTTCCTCTCTCTCCCTTCCTTCCTTTCTTCCTCTCGCTCTCTCCTTCCTTCCTCCTTCTCCTTCCTTCCTTCCTCTCCTTCCTTCCTCCCTCCCTCCCTCTCCTTCCTTCCTTCCTTCCTCTCGCTCTCTCCTTCCTTCCTCCCTCTCCTTCCTTCCTTCCTCCCTGCAGGGGGTTTGCATGGGTTCGGGAGAACCTTAGTTAAGATTCTGTGCAGTTCGGAAAACCCACAAATCCCGCTCCTGGCTGGCCCCGCCCACCCCTCCCCTCTTTCCTTCCTCCCTCTCCTTCCTTCCTTCCTCTCTCCTTCCTTCCTTCCTTCCTCTCGCTCTCTTCTTCCTTCCTCCTTCTCCTTCCTTCCTTCCTCTCCTTCCTTCCTCCCTCCCTCCCTCTCCTTCCTTCCTTCCTTCCTCTCGCTCTCTCCTTCCTTCCTCCCTCTCCTTCCTTCCTTCCTCCCTGCAGGGGGTTTGCATGGGTTCGGGAGAACCTTAGTTAAGATTCTGTGCAGTTCGGAAAACCCACAAATCCCGCTCCTGGCTGGCCCCGCCCACCCCTCCCCTCCCCTCCCCGGAGTCCCCACGCGACCCATTTTGGATGCAGGTAAGTGCAGGGCATGTGCAGAGGCTTGGGGAGGGCAAAACCAAGTTTTGGAGGCCTTCTGGGCCCGTCTCCGGCCTCCAGAGGGCCTCCGGAGCCTGGGGAGGCAGTTTTCGTCCTCCCCCGAGGCTCAAGGAAAGCCTCCGGAGCCCGGGGAGGGCAAAAAGCATCCTCCCCTCCCACCATGGTGCAGGAGGCTGACTAGGCCACGCCCACCATGGCCAGGCCCACCCAGCAACTGGGCAGAGAACCCCTTGCTAAAATTTTTGAAGCCCATCCCTGCTCCCATCCCTCCTCCCAGCCCATCTATCCCGCCCCCTGCCCCCCTCGGGCACGACGCATGGCACTCTGCCGTCCCCGTCCCCTCCAAAAATCCCTGGGTTTGGCTGCACTTCAGCCAGGCATTGTACATGAAAGGAAATTTGTTTATTGTAAAAATAAACATGGTTTTCTTTTTTTTTCTCTTAACACATTCCATCGGTTTTACAAAGAAAGAGATTTGCATTAGAAAAAAAAATAATAGTGAAATCCCCCCCCACCCCATCACAATTTTCATAGCAAAAATGTCCATTAAAGCCAAGGTTGGTTGTTTTCGTTTTTCATGTTTTTTTGTTTTTAAACTCCAGAGCAACAATTGGGATCATTCACAAGAAGCCATAAATCATGCTGCTGTTGTTGTTGTTGTTATTTTTATACATGTTCCATTTTTTTTTGTTTTTACACATCCTGCTTTTAACATGAGGAAATGTAATCATGGCATTTCTTTTTTTTATTATTATTATTTTTTTTAAAAACGGCCCTTCCGTCTCAGGAGGTTCATTAAAGTGCTTAGGAAAGAGAAAGATTCAGTTGATTCAAAATTAGAGCGCTTCCAAGGTGATCCTGTATAAAACGTAGGCAGTTATTCACACACACACACACACAACCACTCGCACACTCACACACACACACCTCTTTAACTAAAGCTAAATACAAAAAAATAAATTACATTTTTTTTTCTTTGATTCTTGTCAAAGAAAACTCGGTCCGTCCGCCTTTAGTCGGAGCTGTCCACAGGTCATGGTGCTGAAATACGTTTAAAAGCTGTAACAGTTGGAAAACGGGCCATACATCACTATGGAGGCCCACCATAGATGAATAGACATGGAGTTTGAATGGTGGCTGAATCCCAACAGTCTTTTCTTTCCCTTCCTTCCTTCTTGCCTTCCTTCCTTCCTTCCTTCCTTCCTTCCTTCCTTCCTTCCTTCCTTCCTTCCTTGGAAGTTGCCCTCTCGTCTGCTTCCCACAGCCAGTCAACCAGCTGGACGGATTATCCTCGTGCCCATCCATGCTCATTTCCTTTCCCATGTTGCCCGTCGCGGACAGGTGGCTCCTCTGCCCTGAGCATTCCTGCAAAGTGCTTCAAAAGAATTGTCACTCCCACCCCCAGGCAGCAGCACGTGCCCCCCCCTCTCCAATCCCCAGAGCGGGGTGGGCAGGGGCCATGCCGTTTAGAGGGTCCCGAAGGAAAGTCCCATGGTGTAAAACCCAAGTCCTTTGAGCTTCTCTTCTGCCCGCGCTTTCTGCTTCAAGTGGACTTTACTGTGCCTTTTCTTTTCGTCACTCCGGGCGAAGCGCCGTCCGCAGTCATCGCAGGAGAAGGGCTTTTCCCCCGTGTGGGTCCTGATGTGGGTCGTCAGGTGGTCACTGCGGCTAAAGTTCCTCAGGCAGATCCGACACTGGAAGGGCTTGTGGCCCGTGTGAATGCGCAGGTGCCTGTTGAGTTCATCCGATCTGGCAAAGCTCCTGACACAGTTTTCAACCGGGCAGGCAAAGGCCTTCTCGTGAGGTTTGGGACAAAAACATTTCGAAGAACATTTCCCACGTCGGGTTTTCTTCTTGGGCCCTGCTAGGCTGCCGGGGGTCCTGTTAAGTCCCAAACTGCTGGCCGAAGAACTCGGGAGATGAGCTAGAAAGTCTGTCATTGGGGCCGATGACGAGGCGGGGTGGTGGCCAGGCAGCTTGATACCGTTGGGGTTCACCAAGGAGGTGAGGACTTCTGGGTGGGGCACAGGAGCTTCGAACTCTTGGCTGAACGGAGGGGAAAGTTTAGGGGCCTTGGTATCTACGAAGTCGGTGGGGAGCGGACCTTGGCTTAGGAACGCTTCGGCATTGCAACCGAAATCCAAGGGAGGCCCGTAAGAGCCGGAATGTTCCGAGAGAGAGTTGAGTTCTGACTGGCAGCTGACCGTCAACGCGTTCTCCGTCTTGGAGACCATGTGGGGAAACAGGGTTTGGCTTGCCTCCACAGGGTGGAAGGTCTCCGAAGGGGGGCACTCGGCCGGCAGATAATGATGAGGCTGGTTGAGGGGCTCCCAATGGGAGCAGGACGATTTGAACTTCTCCGCGGTAGGGGAGATGGAGGACAGCTTAAGGTCCTGCTTGGAATCCAGAAGCTTCTCGTGAAAGAGACAGTGGGAAGAAGGACGAGCTTCCGGAGAAGCTTGGAACTGCGGGAGGCTCTCCGGACTGGAGAACGAAGAATAGGCTTGCTCGGGTAAAGAAGGCTGGACGGAGATGTTGAGTTCCGGTTGGCAGGTAGAGTAGAGGTCCAGATGGTTCTGCAGAGCTTCCGGGATGGTGTAGCTGGCCTCGGGTGGCCGCGGTTGACCTTCTGGAGCAGAGAAAGGGGAAAGCCCTAGGATCCCCGACATCAAGTTGAAGAGCGATTCTTGATCCTGGCATTGTTCGGTCTTGATAAAAAGGCTGCCGGAGTAACTAACCGGTGGAGACGCCTCCCCGGAAAGGAAGTAGTAATCCACTGGTTCAGAGTTCATGGTCGCTCCCATCAAGTCACCTGGAAAAAAAATCAGCAAGGGGAGAAGGTGAGTGTCAAAGAAACTCCTCAGGTTGCTAGACGTAGGTAGTACGATTTTTTTTCTGCAGCACAGTGTCAAGGGAACCACCGGGGTTATTAAGTGAGTGGCAGTCGGTAAGTGAATCCAGTGTCCGTAGGGATGAGCCAATTTCATCTACTGGTTAAGGAAGCTTAGAAACTGGGAAACTGGGAGTTCTAGTCTTGCCTTAGGCATGAAAGCCAACTGGGTGACTTTGGGCCAATCACCAGGAGTTGGGGAGTTCTAGTCCTGCCTTAGTCATGAAAGCCGGTTGGGTGACTTTGATCCAATCACCAGGAGACGGTGAGTTCTAGTCCCATTTTAGGCATGAAAGCCAACTGGGTGACTTTGGGCCAATCACCAGGAGACTGTGAGTTCTAGTCCCGCCTTAGGCATGAAAGCCAACTGGGTGACTTTGATCCAATCACCAGGAGACAATGAGTTCTAGTCCTGCCTTAAAAGGTGCCCCATTTTGCGACCTTCTGACCAGCAAAGTCAAGGGGGGAAAACCAGATTCGCTTAACGACGATGTTACGAGTTTAACAACTGCATGAATTCGCTTAACCAACGTGGCAAGAAAAGTCGTAAAATGGGGGGGAAAAAACCTCACTTAACAAATTTGTCACTTATGACCATAAATGTTAGGCTTAATTGTGATCAGAAGTCGAGGACTACCTATACAAAATGAACTTCTGTGCCTTGGAACATAAATAACAGGGAGAATGTCGTTAGTGCTAACCTAGATTTCTCTCTAGAGCACCATTTCTCAAGCTTGGGAACTTTTAAGATGTGTGGACTACAACTCCCAGAATCCCCCAGGCAGCATTACACTCTAACTAATATAGAGTTTGCACCATCCTGCATGGTTGAGACTTACAGTTTCTCAACTCTGAAACCTGTAAGATGCATAGACTTCAACTCCCAGAATTCCCCAGCCAGCATGTGCTGGCTGGGGAATTCTGGGAGTTGAAGTCCACGCATCTTAAAGAAGCCAATGTTAAGAAATATTGCTGTATAGAGATTTTCCTAGGATAAGTTAGCCATAAATTAACAATAATTTAGCTACAATGAAGCTGATGGGTTTTCTTCATTTGAGCTGGTTTTGCAGCTGAATCCAAGGAGTTGGGATAGACTCTTAAAAGATATTTGAACATAACAGTGGAATTTTCCTTCTTTTATCATCCTGACAATCCTGACGATCCCCAGGGATCGTCAAGTCGAGTCACAAAATGGCTCAAAGTTATTGTCAAGTCAAACTGAGGGTTTTGTATCACAGGCAACCACATCAGTAAGAGTCACAAGTTTAACTGAGCTTGGAGCTCATAACTTACTCTCAAATTTCACTCTGATCATAGAGCCAGCTTGGTTTAGCTGTTGAGGCATCAGGCTAGAAAGCGGGAGGCCGTGAGTTCTAGTCCTGCCTTAGGCATGAAAGTCAGCGGGGTGACTTTGGGCCAATGACCAGGAGATGGTGAGTTCTAGTCCCGCTTTAGGCATGAAAGCCAACTGGGTAACTTTGGGCCAATGACCAGGAGATGGTGAGTTCTAGTCCCGCCTTAGGCATGAAAGCCAACTGGGTGACTTTGGGCCAATGACCAGGAGATGGTGAGTTCTAGTCCCGCCTTAGGCATGAAAGCCAACTGGGTGACTTTGGGCCAATCACCAGGAGATGGTGAGTTCTAGTCCTGCCTTAGGCATGAAAGCCAACTGGGTGACTTTGGGCCAATCACCAGGAGATGGTGAGTTCTAGTCCCGCTTTAGGCATGAAAGCCAACTGGGTTGTTTTGGGCCAATGACCAGGAGATGGTGAGTTCTAGTCCCGCTTTAGGCATGAAAGCCAACTGGGTAACTTTGGGCCAATGACCAGGAGATGGTGAGTTCTAGTCCCGCCTTAGGCATGAAAGCCAACTGGGTGACTTTGGTCCAATAACCAGGAGATGGTGAGTTCTAGTCCCGCCTTAGGCATGAAAGCCAACTGGGTGACTTTGGGCCAATCACCAGGAGATGGTGAGTTCTAGTCCTGCCTTAGGCATGAAAGCCAACTGGGTGACTTTGGGCCAATCACCAGGAGATGGTGAGTTCTAGTCCCGCTTTAGGCATGAAAGCCAACTGGGTAACTTTGGGCCAATGACCAGGAGATGGTGAGTTCTAGTCCCGCCTTAGGCATGAAAGCCAACTGGGTGACTTTGAGCCAATCACCAGGAGATGGTGAGTTCTAGTCCTGCCTTAGGCATGAAAGCCAACTGGATGACTTTGGGCCAATCACCAGGAGATGGTGAGTTCTAGTCCCGCCTTAGGCATGAAAGCCAGCTGGGTGACTTTGGGCCAATCACCAGGAGACGGTGAGTTCTAGTCCCGCCTTAGGCATGAAAGCCAGCTGGGTGACTTTGGGACAATGACCAGGAGACGGTGAGTTCTAGTCCCATTTTAGGCATGAAAGCCAACTGGGTGACTTTGGGCCAATCACCAGGAGATGGTGAGTTCTAGTCCCGCCTTAGGCATGAAAGCCAACTAGGTGACTTTGGGCCAGTTCCCCACTCTCTGCCCAAATCCACCTCACAGGGTTGTTGTTGTCATGAGGAAAATAGAGGAGGAAGGAGTATTAGCTACATTCACCATTTAGAGTTATTTGTAAAAATAATAAAGGCAGGATGCAAATACATCAACAAGTAAACTTCCCACTCATAGACTAGAAATAGACCACTTTGAAGAGCCATTATTTAAAAAAAAAAAAAAAAAATCCTTCAGCCTGCAAATGAAATCATGACGATTAGGGAGAGATGGCCCTTTCCCAAGCCATCCATCTTTCCCAATCCCCAATGAAACCCTTGAAAATGGAAGTGATGGGGGAGGGGCGAGGAGGCCAAGGTGTCTCCCTTGCTTGCAAGTTTGGGAAAGGTGACGTGCCCAGAATCTCACGTATTTATAGTATGGGTTGAGCTAGATGACATCTTGGGAGCCCTCCTGATTTGACTCGAAGGGCCTTTGTTGATGCAAACATCCAACTCCAAGCCCACCTACCCATCTTCAGGTGACCTTGGCAGGAGGAGGTCACCGAGTCACCTCTTCCAAGCTACCCCTTTCCAAAGAATTCAGGGACGATTGGAATCATCTAACCCGAATAGAAACAGGTGAAAAATATGACTTTAGCTTTAGGGGATTCCAGCGCTGAATCCTTCCTTATACCTGAGTCTTCAAAAGGTGCCCATCCAAAATATAAGGGACCAAGCAACACCACCACCCTGGGTAGGGCCAAGCTTCCCCATTCGTGGCTGCTGGAGGGAAAAAAAAAGGTGGCAGAAATTCCTGCCATTTTGAGATGGGCATCACTCAAACGCATCCCTCAGAAGCTCCAAAGGAGGTTTAGTAAGGAAACGAGGGGAGGGGGGAATCTCTCCCTTGCAGAGTTCCCCAATCTCTACCATTGCATCACACACACACCCAGCTTCCTGCCCTTCAGTCCCCTCCCCCAAAGGCCAAAAGGTACCCCAACCCTCCCATGGCCTAGAGAGAGAGAGAGAGAGAGAGACAACTAAGTAGAGGGGATTCAGAGCCTTATCTTGGAGCTTCCCAAAGGGGGTCATCTACAAGAGCTTGCAAGCCTGCCCTTCTCCTCCTCCTCCTCCTCCTCCTCCTCTTCCCTCCTTACCTGCGAAATAATCGGGGGCTTCTTCCCTGGGGGGCTGGCTCAGGAGAGGCGGCAGCTGCTCTCCTTGCTGGTGGAAATGTCCGTCTTCGGCTCTCGGGGTTTCCTGGCGGGAGAAATCCATGAGGTTCAACATGTCCCGATGGAGGAAGAAGAAGAAGAGGAGGAGGAGGAGGAGGAGGAAGAAGGCAAGTGGGGTGGAACCGAGCCCCCTCCGCTGCAGAGCTCCAGCCCCTGGAGGGCTAAAGAGGGCGACTTCCAGGGGCGCACGTGGCCAAATGGGGAACCTCGCGGTCCCCACCTGTTTTGCCTTGCCTTGCCTGGCCCGGCCCGGCCGATTCACCTGCCCGCCGGCCTCACCTGGGCTGGCCGGGCTCCGCAGGTGCTTAGCTGCCTCCTGTTGTTTGTAAGCAAAGAGCCCAGGAGCTGCAGAATCCCTTTTTATATCTGCCTCGGATCTTCCGTTGCAACCCGGCGCTTCCATTTCTGGAGTTCCCACAGCCGGGCTGGCTGTGACGTAAATGCCCATATATGGACTCAGGATGCAGGTTAGGGAGACCCAATAAGGAAATCTCTCCTGGTGACGTTGCTCTCTCCTCCTTCCCCCCCCCCCACCCCCCTCTCTCTCTCTCTCTCTCTCTCTCTCTCCTCCCCGGCAGCAATTTTGGCACCTCTCTTTACCATCTCACCTTTCCCCCCCCACCCCCATTTTTTTTCTTTCCAACGATAATGAATTTTTCTCAGTTTTTTTTTAAAAAAAATATAAACAGAAACCCTGGGAAATCGCTGAAGCATCAGGAAGTGGCGGGATGGAGGAGCGTCTCTCTCTCTCTCTCTCCACCCCCCCCCCGCCCCCTTGCCAGAAATCTGGGGGAAGCCAGCTGCAACCCACATACATTCCCACCCACCACCCCCTGCACTGAGCTTCTGCACTGCTGCAAAGGCAGGCCAGATTTGGGGGGGGGGCAAAGCTCTCTCTCACACACACCTCCACGGGAGCCCCCTGCTCCGCTGGTGGTTTCTGGGCTCTGTGGGCCCCCCTGGGAGAAAAGGTGGCATTTAGGTCAGTGGGACAGGAAGGTTTTGAATAATGAAAGGGAGGTGAGAGATGGGTTGGAAGAAGGAGGAAAAGTGGACCATGTCGCTCTTCTTAAAGGCAGGTGAGTCATCAGGTGTTTGAATGGAGGCCTGGCACACTTTTGTGCCAAGTGGGGGGGGGGTGATTGGAGAGGGGGGTAGTCCTCACCTTCAACAATTCGTTTAGTGACCGTTCCAAGTTACAACGGCCCTGAAAAGGGCAACTTAGGGCTGTTTTTCACACTTATGGCCTTTGTAGCCTCCCCCATGATCGTGCGATCAAAATTCGGATGCTTGGCAACAGGTTCATACTTGTGACCGTCACTGTGTTCCGAGGACAGCCTTGGAAGGCTTGACGGACCCAGGTTAGCCACTGATCGTCCAGGTGGAATCCCATCCCTTAGGATTGGTTGGAACAGAGAAAACACGATGGCATGTATTCAGTGAGCCACTAAATACAAAGGCCAGAGAACTTCTGGAGAAGTTCTGATGGGGAGAAAGAAAGAAAGAAAGAAAGAAAGAAAGAAAGAAAGAAAGAAAGAAAGAAAGAAAGGGAAGGAAGAGAAAGGAAAGAAAGAAAGAGAAAGAAAGAAAAAAGGAAGAAAGGAAAGGAAGAAAGAAGAAAGAAAGAAAGAAAGAAAGGAAGGAAGGAAGGGAGGGAAGGAAGGAAGAGAAAGAAAGAAAAAAGGAAGAAAGGAAAGGAAGAAAAAAGAAAGAAAGGAAGGGAGGAAGGAAGGAAGAAAAAAGAAAAAAGAGAAAGAAAGAAAGGGAAGGAAGGAAGGAAGAGAAAGGAAAGAAAGAAAGAGAAAGAAAGAAAGAAAAAAGAAAGGAAGAAAGGAAAGGAAGAAAGAAAAAAAAGAAAGAAAGGAAGAAAGGAAAGGAAGAAAGAAAAAAGGAAGGAAGGAAGGAAGGAAGGAAGGAAGGAAGGAAGGAAGGAAGGAAGGAAGGAAGGAAAGAAGGGTGATCAGCACCAAGATGGATGGACTCAGTTACAACAGTGATATGGGCATCCTTGGAAGATCTAAAGGACCATGTTAGGGACAGATCATTTTGGGGAACATCTTATCTATGTAGACATTTTTTTTAAAAATTTGATTTGAGTCAACTTGACTTGATGGCACATAGTCAATCAATCGGTCAGTCAATGCAAAGAACTCTGCGGAAGGCTCTGATGTTGGGAAAGGAAGAAGAAGAGGGCGACAAATTGGATGGACTGAGCTGGAGTAGTTGATGGGGGCATCCTTGGTGATCTGTCCCCAACTCGGAGAAGGTCTATCTTCATAGCCATTAAGAGTTGACCTGACTGGATGGCGCATAACAATGCGAAGACACAGCTCTCTGGAAAAGGCTCTCATGCTGAGAAAGAAGGAAAGAAAGAGAAGAAGGGGACAACCAGCAGGAAGGACGATGGACTCATTTACCGTGGAGACGGTGGCAAGAGGAACTGAAGCGTTAGTGGCAGCTCACCATGGAGAGAAACTCATGTAGTTGCTAGGAGTTGAAAACAACTTGATGGCACCCTACCAACCAATCAACCAACCAACCAATCAATCAATCAACCAACCAACCAACCAATCTGTAAGCCCCTGGGCAAAAGCCCAATGCTTATATTTTGCAAGAATGAAGTCAAGATCTTGACTGAGCTTTGAAAGCTGATGCAGAAAACAACAGAATTTGCGAGAACTCTCCAAGGTGCTGAAATCGCATTTTTCTGCCCATCTCGAGTCTAGACACAGCAACGGTGGAGAATCCTCAATTTACATCATTTAGTGACGTTCGATCGGGGCTGAAAAAAAGTGAGTTATGACCATTTTTCACACTTCTGACCGCTGGAACAACCCCACAGTCATGTGATCAAAATTCAGCCGTTGGCAACTGACTCATATTTATGACGGTTGCGGTGTCACTTGATCCCCTTTGGCGACCGTCTGGCAAGCCAAGTCCATGGAGAAGCCAGATTCACTTAACAACCGTGTTCCTAACTTAATGACTGCAGTGATTTACTTAACAACCGTGGCAAGGAAGGTCGTAACAGGGGGCGAAATTCACTTAACAAATGTCTGAGAGCCGTGATGGGGCAGTGGTTAGAATGCAGTACTGCAGGCTAATTCTGCTGACTGCCAGGAGTTCAATCCTGACCGTCTCAAGGTTGACTCAGCCTTCCATCCTGACCGTCTCAAGGTTGACTCAGCCTTCCATCCTTCCATGGTCGGTAAAATGAGGACCCAGATTGTTGGGGGCAAAAGGCTGACTCTGTAAACTGCTTAGAGAGGGCTGTAAAAGCACTATGAAGCGGTATATAAGCCTAAGGGCTATTGCTATTGCTCACTTAGCACCAGTATGTTTTGGTTCAATGGTGGCCATAAGTCAAGGACTGTCTGTATTGAGCTGACAATATCCAACCTTGTACCCTATCTTGTCTGGCCTCAGAATGGCCAGTAGCTGGACGTCAAGAAAGGATCCAGGAAGACACAGCCAGGGGCTTCCTTACTACTACTGAGACATCAATATGAGCCAGTTGATCTTGTTTCCTGGTGATGGGGTGGAATGTGGTCTGGATTCCCAGAAGGGAGGGGCTGAATTCCAGAGGAGGAAGAGGCAGCGAAGTTTAGAGAGTTTCGTTGGGAGAAAGAGAATTCAGAAAGCGCCTCCTTAGCGATTCTCCGAAGATATCTTTAGTCTTACAAGCAGTTGCTTGAGTTTTTGGCAAGATTTGTGTCTCTAGGTGAAGAGCAATGAAGGGAACTGCTCGGGGGTACAGCTAGTCCTCGACATACGACCACAACAGAGCCCAACGTTGCTGTTGTTAAATGAGACATTTGTTCTGTGAGTTTTGCACCCGTGTTACGACATTTCTTGCGACAATTGTTAAGTGAATCGGGCCTCCCCGTTGACTTTGCTTGTCAGAAGGTTGCCAAACACGAGTCAGTAACCAATCGTCTGAATATAAAGGTCGTAAGTGTGAAAAACGGTCATAAGTCCCTTTTTTCAGGGCCGTTGTAACTTCGAATGATCCCTAAGTGAACTGTTGTAAGTCGAGGACTGCCTGTTTCATTTAGTGACCGTTCAAAGTTACAACGGCACTGGAAAAAGTGATTTACGACCGTTTTTCACACTTACGACTGTTGTAACATCCCCATGGTCCAATGCTCAAAATTCAGATGCTTGGCAACTGACTCACATTTATGACGTTCACTGGGTCACGTGATCCCCTTTTGCGACCTCCTGACCAGCAACCTCAATGGGGAAGCCCGATTCGCTTAACAACCGGTTACTCTTTTAACAACTGCGGCGACTCCCTTAACCGCTATGGCAAGGAAGGTCGTAAAATGGAGGCAAAGCTCACTTAAAGACGGTCTCGCCGAGCAGCAGAAACCTTGGGGCCCCTTGCGGTCGTAAGACGAGGACTAGCCCTAACTCATTTGTGCTGCTGTTTGAAGGGATGCTGAAGAGAACAGCAAAACAGCTTTGCATTACGCAGCAAAAAAAAAACGCTTTAATTAGTTTAGGGAAAGGAGAAAAAAAGTTAATTCAGGTTTACACCTCCCCTCCCCTCCCTCTCTCCTTGTGCTATTTACACCCAGAATGCACCAGATCTCATCCAATCAGGAACTCTGAGGAACACCGGGTGGTTTTGTTGGCTTCCTGTTTCCCCTCCCCTCCCCTCCCCTCCCTCCCTCCTTCCTTCTCGCTTTTCTGAGTGTGGGCTTGGGAAGGTTGCCTTGCACTCCGCAGAGAAAGCCTTGAGACGGGGAAGGGTGCAGCCTGCCTGCCTCGCTCTCCTGATCCGCAGGGAAGCCGTTGCATAATGTGTGCATGGGCTCCTTCTCGGCTCAGTCACTGGAAAGGGGGCCAGTGGGCACCAGGAATGAGGAAGCCACTCTTGAAAGGGTTTTATCTACCTACCTACCTACCTATCTATCTCTATCTCTATCTATCATCTACAAATCTATCTATATATCTATGTATTTATCTATCTCTCTCTCCATCTGTCTAACTTTATCTATCTGTCTCTCTCTGTCTCTGTCTCTTTGTATGTATGTATGTAATCTGTGTATCTATCTACTTGTTTATATCTACATCTACATCTAACATCTAAATCTATACCTATACATCTACCTACCTATCTTCTCTCTATATCTATCTATCTATCTATCTATCTATCTATCTATCTATCTATCTATCTATCTATCCATGCATACACATCATCTCTCTCTCTCACTCTCTCTCTCTATCTATCCATACATACCTGCATACATACTTACATACACATCATCTATCTATCTATCTATCTATCTATCTATCTATCAATCATCTATCTATCTATC